TACCTTTATATACTTCTAATGAGTCGAGAAATAGAGATAGACATGAGAAGAATGAACAATAATTGAATAGAACTAAGAAGTAAGGCCCAGGACAGAGTGGGTTGGATAATGCTTGTCGGCGGCCTATGCTCCACTTGGAGTAACTGGCGTAAATAAGTAAGTAAGTAATGAATCGATCATTGGATGAAGAAACAAACTTCTTTATTTGACGATATCATTATGTTTATTCACTGATAGATCTTTTCATAAAATTTAGTCTGACCGAGAGAAATTAGAAGGTTTACCAGTAGCACCATTTATGGATCGTGAAAAAGTCACTAAACCATCAGCACAAATTGGTTTCATCAAATTTGTCCTCATTCCAATGTTTCAAACGGTGGCAAGTGTAAGTGTTTACAACCTTATTTTGGGTTATATTTTATGTAAATTGTTCTCATTAATCCGATCAGATTTGTACAAGTACAAACAGTGAAACTAGGAAGTACTGAACAGCTTTCTGGTCTTAGTACAGGATTTCTTAGTAGTGTACATCTACGACCTGCTAAGGATCCGACTCAAAGCCTTCAGGTTACATGACAAGCCTCTAACTTCTAGACCACTAAGTCATCACTGGTGAAAATTCCCGCACTAATATGGAATAGGTTACAAGTTTTCCATTTGTTTTACGGTTGTTTAAGTCATGTCAATCTATGATCTAAACTGTCAAGTCCAACCATCTCTATGGTACTCCATATATTTAGTTGAATACACTATACTACTCATTAAAAAATATCATCAAAAGAATTATTGCATAATTTTTTAAAAACAGACCAGATAATGGTGTGAATTATGTATATATAGTTCATTACGTAATTGTTTTAAATAATGTGTTTATTCAGATGATGATTTCTACTAATGATGTCCACAATAGACTGAAGGATAAGTTGAATTCATGAGTCTATTAAAGCTAAACCTCCTTGGAAAACCTGCAAGCACTAGACGGCCGTTTCTTCCTAGTATAATACCGATAGTTCCTGGGTTCGAAACTCGCGGGTCGGGATCGTTGATGTGCACTGCTGAGGAGTCCCATAATAGCATGAAATGGCCGTTCAGTGATTTCAAGTTTTCCATAGTGGTCTAGCTTCAACTGACTCATGATCTCAACTAATGGGATTATTGTGTATTTATAGAAATTTTCTTTAGATAAATCGTTATTATAAACCTCAATTTCAAGCGTATCAAATTTGTGTGTTTGAACACTTCAATTATTATTAATAAGAGTAGTCAAGGGTTCTCTATAAGAAATGGAACAGAGCAAAGATATAAATGAATAAGGGTTATGAATAGAAGTTTGTAAAGAATCAGTTTTATGACGACACAAAATGACTTCAACTTGGGACATAGTGAATACAAAAGGTGAGTAAATCTCTTTTATACACATTAGTTTCAATGGATCTCAGTGATTTTGGCCATGTAGAAAAGATTTGTTCATGTAGTTTTTAATAACTGACCCTGGAAATTATACAAGACATTTCCTCCACACAGTATTTTCATCTATCAAATGAAACATTATTTACTAATTGTTTAAAGTCTTTTCATCATCAAGAAGCTATATGTTCTTGTGTATGCATGGGTTGTGCCCTTTTTGATAAAGTTTTGTTCTTTTAGCTGGATGGTTTGGTCATAGAGTTTCTATATTCCTTCTGAACGACATCATCAGGACAAACTTCAGATAGAGTCCATTCATCTGCGCTACAAATCTTCTCCACCATCTCAAGGGTCATGCCCTTTGAAAACGGCCTATGTAACCAACTCTAAAGTAGTTAATTTGATAAACATACATTAATAACCTTATCAGCTTTTACTATTGTACCAGTATATGCATTTTTGAGATGACATCAAACTTAATGACAGTGAACTTAAAGTAGTGGAGATTCATAGGTCAGGTAGATGATATTGATGGAGTTTTATTCTCTGAGCTGGATGGTTTGGTCGTGGAGTTTTCATCGTTCTTCAGAACGACATCATCGGTACAAACTTCAAATAGAAGTGAAGTGTTCGAATTTCTCCACATGTAGTTCACAGCTTGTCTGATGTGCAATCAGGAAAATCATGCACAAACATAGGAACAAAAAATCAAACTAATAGGAGATGGAACTAAAACAAAGAAATAAACAATTAAAGGTTCAGGATTAATAAGAACCAATCAACATCTAGATGTACAAGACAAGCTGTGAATCACAAGTGGAGAATTTCGTACGCTTCACTTCTACCTGAAGTTTATGCTGATGATGTCGTTCAGAAGAATGATTAAAGCTCCACAACCAAACCATCCAGTTCAGAGAACAAAACTTCATCAAAAGTGAACTTGAATGCTATATCATAGCTACATCACCTTTAATTTAAAGTCTTAAGTCGACAGTTTTCTTATTCAGTTTTCATATACTCATGTATATACGCTTTATCTATTTTGTTTCTATGTTTTCCTATTTTTTTAATTCATATTCGAATGAAATTTCCATTAAGGTTTATCCAATTATTGATGAACTAATGGTAACTCAATTGAAATCAGCATTAGAACGTTATGAAAAGATGTTGGCTGAAGAAGAAGAAACAAAACGTAACTTACAAATGAATGAAGCAGATTAATACTTTAATAAAAGACATGCTGAACTGATACACAAACACACACACACACACATGCACACTCACATGCATACAATCAAGAATTTTGTATACGTGAACATAAAGGTGATCATTTTTGGCTTCCATTCTCAACTTAATAAAATAATCATGTTGTCTTTTCCAAATAATTGTCGTTTTTCTTTTGTAAAAAACTACTTAGAAAAACTGTAACTAGTGCACTTGGCTATCAGGACTCAAGTGCTGAGTGGATAACGCGAACATTACTGGGTTCAGGTTCCAGAGTGAACATCAACCCTCAAGTGCAGGTACAGCTGACTGGTGAGTCTCGAATAGGACGAAACGCATGTCAAACTGGATTCCATTGCTAACCACTATCCATCTTTGTTTATAATGCTTGTGAATTAAGACAATATTGAGGCTATCCGCTTAGGATGCACATATGCCAACAAGAGACTGATCAATTGCAGTTCTACACAACAATGGGAAGATACAAGCAAACATTACCAAGTTAATGTAACTAGTGCAGTTCATTTATGTTGGGATTGAGACATGTATCATAGATGAAAATGAATATGGATCACAAAATACAACGAATTAATTAGAGTCGAGAATATTCTATATTGAATAACCGATTGTGTCACTAAAATACAAAATAAAAACAATTCGGGGGGAGAATTTACTTCTCAACAAGATCATTTACTTAAGTTGTACATGCACATCTACAGTTGTTTGGCAAATATATAGGTCTAGAGAAGGATAGAAAAGATTGCATCATCAAGCGATTCAAGACTTCAAATATCAAATATGATGACATATTAATCACGGAGTCAGAGAAGAATAGGTGAATGAAAATAATTTATGGGTCAGAATTATGAAAGATAATTGTCCGCTTGATAGATATGAAGAATCAACGTAAAACACAATGGTCATTATAGTAATTGAATGATGATCATGAAAAATTGTTAAAGGATAATAATAACTGATTACAATGGAGTTTTATCCTCTGAGCTGAATAGTTTGATCGTGGAGCTTTCATCACTCTTCGGAGCGATATCATCAGCACAAACTTCAGGTAGAAGTCTCCACGACCAAACAATCCAGCTCAGAGAACAAAACTCAATCAAAATCATGCACCTGAGCTACAAATCTTTTCCATCATCTCATAACTGATTACGTTTTGCAATCAAAAAATAATGATGAAAACGATGATGCATAAACCTATCACTTTTCAAACGCATCTCATAACATTATCTGATGTTGTTTCTAAAATGAGAATGCATAACAATCACTAGTGCAATACAAGAACACCTGATCAATTCTGAACACGTTGTTTCAAAGAAGTTTTCATCTAGAATAATCTACATAATCCAAAGAGCTGAGTCGAAGAGAGGTTGAATCAATAACTTATACACTGTTGAGACGTTGACGATCCACCAAATAAAGTCCGAACTCTGCGAGTTAAAACAATATGTCAAGCCTCTCATCATTCCTTTGCCCTAATTCCCTTTTTTAGTATGTTTTGGTCTTGTTTTGTTTTATTAATCGTCTTTAAATTATAAACTGTAATCAGCTATTATTAACCTTTAACAATCATCAAGCTCATCATCTAGTTACTATAATGACCATTATGATTTACATTGATTCTTCATATCTATCAAGCCGACAATTATCTCTCATAATTCTGACCCATAAATTATTTTCATTCACCTATTCTTCTCTGACTCCGTGATTATTATGTCATCATATTTGATATTTGAAGTCTTGAATTGCTTTATGATGCAATCTTTTCTACCCTTCTCCAGACCTATATATTTGCCAAACAACTGTAGATGTACATGTACAACTCAAGTAAATGATCTTGTTGAGAAGTAAATTCTCCCCCCGAATCCACCTTATTTTCATTAAACAATCAATAAATTTATTATAAGGTAGAGTGTTTTCAATCAGTACTAGTAGGTGTTGAGTTCAATCCCTCTAAGGTTTTGAGTGTGTAGGGAAATGAGAAGTTCTACTCTAAATTGAAATAGCTTTCTAGTGCTTCCTAACTGTACATTCGCCGACTAACTAAATATCGATCACTGATATTAACCACAAAAGTTAAGACGTTTGCTCGGTGGATATAAGTTATGGCGGTCTTAGTTAAAGGTACTGGGTTAGGGTCTCCATGTGAACATCATTAGTGGGATGCAGACACGTCGAGGTGAAGCTTATCAAATGAATCGTGAGCCGTGGCTCCCACTTCTAGCCACTGTCCAACATTATCAAAGTACTTGTGGCTAGCTGATGACAGAGAGATGATTCCCTCCGAATGTGTGTATGAAAAAAGTGACTGACAAGCTACAATCCTTAACACTGACAACGGTAAAATACAAACTCCTACAAGTAAAATTTATTAAGAAAGACTACAATACTGTCAACTTAAGAACATTTACCCTGATGGCCTCAAATGGTAGCTAACAATGAAAGCTTTCAGCTATTTTAAATACATCGTCAACATCATCCTCTTGTTGTTTCTGTTAAGTAGTTGGGAAAATATTAAATCAATGAACATGTTTCAGTGGTTTTATAATTTACAGTTCAAAATATTTGTTGAAAGTTTTGACTACTTAATTAGTCATTAAAGTAACATAAATTGAAATGTTAAAAATGTACGGGACGGTTAAAAACCTCGTAATATTGGTCGAAATGCCATTGAAGCAATTCCACACATATTCCAATTGTTACGAAGTACTTTCACGTAACCTTGTTCACCCCAATTTGTTCCCCAATTATTTTGTAATATCCAGTAATCGTTACCATCATTATCATAACCGTAACCAACAAGTAACATACTTTGATTTAAATTATAATGTGTACATGTATCAGATTGATATATTCCTGACCTGAAAAAAAAGTGGATTACAAACTGAACTTATTGTGAGACGAATTCATATCTGAGTTGTAATTTTCTTAAACACTGACAAATCGAATGGGAAATTGATACATTCAGATGAGGTTAAGATTAATAAAATTAGAGACTACCAGAATAAAGTTATTTAATTGATTGAATCCCGGTTCAGTGATCTAGAATTTGAGCGTTCATGTGTGAAGCTGAGAGTCCTGGATTCGGACCCTGGTCACAAGATCGTGGGCGAAACGGCTGTCCAGTACTTCCATACTTTCTATGGTGATCTAACCAAGATTAATCAAGGGATTCAAAACCCATGAAAGCTGTACCATCTCCACCAAACCCTACACTGGGAATGAATTAAATTTTCGATTAATTAGATAATTTATTTACCATCAATAATTGACTGAGATCAGACATGTAAACATCCAAAGCTAAATTCAGTGTTCTAAAACTTAGTGTACTAATTGAGTACTCATTATTGAGTTTAAAACATCCGTGGGTTCACAACTGTTCTAGGATAAAGACTTCGAATCTACTTGTAAACAAGTGATAAATGTTATAAAGTGTATCCCCTAGTCAATAAGCAAACATAACAATATTTTAGCTTAACAATGAATGTGTTCATATTTCCAAAATCAATAAATTAACAAAACTCTTTTTTGTGTTCGTTAACTTGAATGCTACTACTGATGATTCGTCTTACTCGGAACGGAACGAAAACTCAAGGATTCAGAGACTCGATAGGCTATACTGGTCCGTTGTCCCCGACTCAGCTAACTCGATCCAGAAGTCTTAGTAAGATGTAGAAAGTGTATTCTACAGACAACCAGAAGATACCAGGACCCTCAAGCACACAAATCAAGCGTATTTATACAAAATATATATGGTCGACATTGCCATGGAAGTTTTTAAACATTTAATCGATAAGTTCGTCAACCGACTTTGTGCGCGGGGGGTAAGAAATGCCCATGCATACATCTGCATACAAGCTCCATAAAGATAAAATTACAAAATATGAGTTTTGGGGATCTAACGTCCCCAACACTGTCTAAAAGAAAAATTATCATTCACACCAATCAAAGATATCTATCTTACTAAGATTAAACAATTTTCCTCTACGTTCTACTTTTCAATGTTTATCTATCTAAAATTCTGTTTATGTTACGAACACTCTTCGAAACTATGTAATTATAACGATTCTTCCATGCACATGGTCGCCGGAAATCACCAAACTGCATCACAAGGCAAGCACTAACTTAGAATCCTGAAGGGAAGCGGAAAAGAGGAAGGCCAAAGAACACATTACGTCGGGAAATAGAAACAGATATGGAAAGGATGAATAACAACTGGAAATGGCTGGAACGGATTGCCCAAGACAGGGTTGAATGGAGAGTACTGGTGGGTGGCCTATGCTCCTCCGCAAAGAGTAACAGACATAAGTAATTAAGTTTCATGCACATTATTTCCAATACAACAGATAAATCTCCTTTGTGAATTTCAATCTCTCTGTCCCCCACACACACACACACACACTTACGTTATGATGAATATACTTACTTATAATGTAAAAACTTTTCATCAATATTCATGGAAATTACATATGGACCTTCATTGTACACTGCCCATTTCAAAATTGTTTCATAACCATGTCGATGAAATTTATAACCAATCGATTGAACAATCACATCTGAACTATTTGCTAGACAATCTTGATCCTTGAAAAAAAACGTTTACAAAAAAAAACACAATGCAAAACAAATAAACAAACAGATCAGCTACAATGAAAATCGCAATCATATTTACAGAGTTAACAATAAATTGATTAGATACTCTTCTTACTGGATTATTTAAAGGATGAAATATCAACGAATGAAGATTAAATTAAATTCACTTGGTGTTGTTCCCTTATATCTTTCCATTGTTGTATAGAACTGCAATTAATCAGTCTCTTGTTGGTATATGTGCATCCTGAGCGAATAGTCTCAGTATTGTCTTAATTTACAAGCATTATAAACAAAGATGGATAGTGGTTAGCAGTGGAATCCAGTTTGACATGCGTTTCGTCCTATTCGAGACTCACCAGTCAAATGTACCTGCATCTGAGAGTTGATGTTCACTATGGGACTCAAACACAGAACCTCTCGCTTGCACAAGCAAGTGGTCATCAGGACTCACTATCTAGGTGGATAACTTGATGGTGTTTGAATTGAGCAGTACTGGGTTCGAGTCCTGGAGTGAACATCAACTATGTGTGGCAGATACATCCAACCGATGAGTCTCAAATAAGACGAAACGCACATCGAACAAGATTCCACTACTAACCACTATCCATCTTTGTTTATCTGTCGGTAAGTATTCACAAATTCAGACATTTGAAATTTTGTTGAATATACTTTTTGTTGTTGGCCAAAGTAAACGGTACTTCTAATCCTTTCTAAATAAATTAAAAAAAGAACAAAACTGATTTGGCAGTTAATCAATATTGTGATGATTAACAATCATCTACTATTTAAAACTATAAGCTTATCATTTTCTTTGGTAATTTTAAACCAGACTGAAAATAAACTACTTTTTTATAACAAAGAAATTCACATTCAACAGACTCATTCAATGAGGTTCCATCTAGTTTTACATCTATTTTATCCGGTCATTCATATCACATAATCAATTCTCATATATTTTAACGAGTATAATAACAGACAATGATTGAAGTGAAACTCTAGTTATTTTCATTTTCATCAGTCGATCTATGACAACCACTGAAAGACTGAAAGCACTGGATAGCCGTTTCGTCTTGGTATGAGACTCTTCAGCAGTGTGCATTTATGATCCCACATAAGAGATTCGAACCCGGGACATTCGGTCTCATGTGCAAACGATTAACCTCTAGATTAGTGAGCCAGCATCCGATGGTGTTAATCAATTATTACTGAATGAATAAGATATAAGAATTAATAGTCATTTATTATTGAACAATGGTGAGTTAGTTTAAACTGTTACACTGAAATGACCGGCTTTTATCCAATATAACCTTTGCTTATATGAACAATACTAAATTAAAGATCAACATCTTTCATTCACCATAGTGTCCTTCTTCCTTTCTCTCTCTCTCTCTCTCCCAATGAAATGTAATAGTTAGATTATCTACCTATTGAATGTTCAAATTACATGAATAATTGAAATTATTATATAATAGAATTATAGGGTCGTTTACGAGAAATAATGAACAGTCTCTTCATATTAATCATTCATAACAGATTGATTATCATTTTCAACATAAACAAACTATCCAATCTAATTATGTTCACAGAGAAAACTGACAGTTATTGATTGAGATTTTGACCCGATTAATGTTAGACTACCATTGAAAACGTGGAACTACACGGCCGTTTCGTCCTATTTTAGGGCTCTTCAGAAGTGCGTCCCACAATAGGACGAAACGGCCGTCCAGTGCTTTCAGGTTTCCAATGGTGGTCTAACATCAATCGATTCAAGATCTCAATCAATGACTTGATAATCTTCACAACCCTATACTGATAAAAACTAACGGTGTTGCTGACTTTGATCGTTTTCTGGACTTTTAGGGTGCCTGTAGATTTAAAGCACTAAACTAAAAGGAAAAATATTTATCTAATGTTACATGATTCATGATTAGAATTGAAAGTCACATTCATAAGCATACTCCATATCAATTAAAAATCATGCATAATGTTAAGTATTAGTGAATGATATCAATTATTTCCAACTTACCTCACCCGTAAAAGGATAATTCTCTTCTGTTTCTAATCCAAAATTTTGTAAATAAATAAACAATGTAAATGTGTAGCCACCATGACATCCCATATTACCATATATACGTGTACAATCAATAAACTGTTGTACAGAAAAGTTTTTTCGATTGGATGTACGTAAAGCATATTGAGATTCAGTTACAGCTGTTACAGCAAATGCATACGAACCAATGCATGAACCCTGACAGATGAAAACAAATTAGGTAATGAAAAGAAGAAAACAGTATACACGCACAGAAAGATAGATAGATAGATAGATAGATAGATAGATAGATAGATAGATAGATAGATAGATAGATAGATAGATAGATAGATAGATAGATAGATAGATAGATAGATAGATAGATAGATAGATAGATAGATAGATAGATAGATAGATAGATAGATAGATAGATAGATAGATAGATAGATAGATAGATAGATAGATAGATAGATAGATAGATAGATAGATAGATAGATAGATAGATAGATAGATAGATAGATAGATAGATAGATAGATAGATAGATAGATAGATAGATAGATAGATAGATAGATAGATAGATAGATAGATAGATAGATAGATAGATAGATAGATAGATAGATAGATAGATAGATAGATAGATAGATAGATAGATAGATAGATAGATAGATAGATAGATAGATAGATAGATAGATAGATAGATAGATAGATAGATAGTAGATAGATAGATAGATAGATAGATAGATAGATAGATAGATAGATAGATAGATAGATAGATAGATAGATGATAGATAGATAGATAGATAGATAGATAGATAGATAGATAGATAGATAGATAGATAGATAGATAGATAGATAGAGATAGATAGATAGATAGATAGATAGATAGATAGATAGATAGATAGATGATGATAGATAGATAGATAGATAGAGATAGATAGATAGATAGATAGATAGATAGATAGATAGATAGATAGTAGATAGATAGATAGATAGATAGATAGATGATAGATAGATAGATAGATAGATAGATAGATGATAGATAGATAGATAGATAGATAGATAGATAGATAGATAGATAGATAGATAGATAGAATAGATAGATAGATAGATAGATAGATAGATAGATGATAGATAGATAGATAGATAGAAGATATAGATAGATAGATAGATAGATAGATAGATAGATAGATAGATAGATAGATAGAATATAGATAGATAGATAGATAGATAGTTAGATAGATAGTTAGATAGATAGTTAGATAGATAGTTAGATAGATAGTTAGATAGATAGTTAGATAGATAGTTAGATAGATATTTAGATAGATAGTTAGATAGATAGTTAGATAGATAGTTGATAATAGATAGATAGATAGATAGATAGATAGATAGATATAGATAGATAGATAGATAGATAGATAGATAGATAGATAGATAGATAGATAGATAGATATATAGATAGATAGATAGATAGATAGATAGATGCGCAAATACTTTAGTGAATAAGTTACTAAGTATGGTTGTAGTTGGTTAAGTCTTTGATCTGACTAAAAATATCATTTCCCCTAATATTACAAACCACATTAAACTGAGATTGATGGTTTCCAGTAGGTTGCATCTAACCACTTAGCAACACTAAGGTAAATTTCAATGAAATATCAAATGGGGTAACGTCAGATACATGTACCTAGAAATTTAGAATATCACAGAAATTATGACTTTTCAGTATTTAATTTACATAAAGAAGATATATAAATATAATCATTATTGTTGGATGTCAGTCACGGCTCGGATAGCCCAATGATAACATCTCTAACTGTGAAGCTGGTGACACAGGACTGAATACGTCAGGGAGCACCAGTTCCCTCAAGATAACAGGTACACCTTGCTGACTAGTGCCAAATAGCACGAAAATCGGATCCAAGGTTTCCTGTTGACTACCTTCAACCACCATCTTATCTCATTATTGTTACTTAATAAGTAATTAACTAACATCTTACTTCATCTCTTGGTTCATTCACAACATTCAAATGACGCCAATCATATGAATCCGGTGTCCAACCAATATTATTCACATCATAATCTTCTTCAATAAAAGATGATTCAGGAATGATTAATCTCTTGTCAACTTTATACATTGAACAAAATTCATTCCATTCAATATCGGTAAATCGACTTAAACCAATAGAATATGTTTCAAAGCCTAAATCATAACGTAAATTATGCAATTGAATTTTGATTAGATTCTTATTCCAAATTCTTTGTCGAATCAATTCTTCATTTGGATCATTGTATTGTTTAGCATATAGAGATTTCCATTTCTTCCATAATTCATTAAATTTCAATGTTCTATTTGAATGGACATTATATGATAATATATGTAACATAATCAGTAGTATTATGATGAACTTCATTGTAAATGTCTTCAGAAGAACTTCGTGATGACGTTATAGTTCATCTATATAAATGTACATTTATACATGCAAATATAGTCTGAAATGATTGTGTACTTTGAGATATGTACGCTGAAACACTTGTGAATGGTGATTAGGAAAATGATGTTTTCATAGAAATGAAGGATATGGTGTGTGTGTGTGTGTGTGTATGTGTGCTTGCGTTCGACAAATTGTTGGACTTTATCCAATGAGCAGTACTTTTCATTGATTAAATAATTGGTTTTAGACTATTTAGAATTATTAAAGATTTTGTTTGAATATATATATGTATTATGAAAGGCTTCAATCGATCACAGTGAAGTACTCAGGAAAGCACCTGACCATACTGATAGAGGACCTAAACATCAAAGTCAGAATGGACAACATTGGGTATCAAGATATCATGGGACGATATGGACTGATTGGAAGTAACCAACGAGAATAATGACAGATTTGTGAATTTATGAACATTCAACGAAATGGTTATAGGTGACACAATATTCACACACAAACCCATTCAAAAAGCTACATGGGTCAATCTCACCGGATTACACTACAGAGAACCAGATCGATCATATTTGCATCACTAATAAAGTCAGAAGGTCAATGGAAGATGTGAGAACAAAGAAAGGAGCTGACATAGTTTTAGATCACCATCTACCTGGTGGTTTTGTAGATGAAACTGAAGCTAAAGAAGCACTGGACAACTGTAGAAACAGAATTACAAAGGTTCGATACAGACTTCCTTCAACATACTGACAAACTCGATCAACAACAGGTTCAAAGCCTTACAGAATATACTGAAAGAAGATAAGGAAACTATTATAAAAGAAAACGTGTCAGGAGGTGACGGGAGGCGGCAACGAACACCATCATAAGGAATACATCTCTATCGAAACCCTGGACAAGATTCAAGAAAGGAATGATAAGAAGCCAGTCAAACAAGAACAGAGAACATTAAGGCATTAGCTGAATACACAGAATCAAAGAAGTAAGTGAATAGGAGTACTCGAGCTGACAAAGAGAAATACGTAGAAGACCTAGAAACAACATAGATCAGATTCCGTAAAGATCGTTCGTGAAAAGGTCAAATCACGATACTATGGATCATCGTTGAACAATCAGTTGAATGCAACTCACCACTATGTATCAACTTCATTGACTATGAGAAAGCGTATGACAGTGTGGATAGGAGAAACTTGTGGAACAATCTTCGACACTACGGAGTGAGTAACTAAGAAGATCGTCAACATCATTTGGAATTCAGATGGCGGAATATACTGCAAAGTTATGCATGGACGACAACTGACCAAACTCATTCCAAGTAAGGACCGGAGTCATACAATGCTGTTAACTAACTCCTGCTTCTAACTCATGTATTAAAGCATCAGAAAGATCAATCGAATACTTTTCTTTAATTTGAGTTTGAAAATTCTTGAGATTATATACATAAAATGTCAACATTAAACCAGAGAAAGATGATAGTTATTAATAAAGAATAACTCAGTTCTATCCTAACTTTGTACTGAAGATGTTGTCTAGAAAGACGATGAAATCTTCACGAATAAACTATTCAGGTTAGAGAATGAAACTCCATCAAAAAAATACCTCAAAAGCTGTATATACACCTACGTTTTTTATGTAGCAGCTTCCGTTTATCGAAATGAAGTATAAATATTTTCACTTTAATCACAATTGATCGCCACCCAGTGATCAATCAATTGTGATTAGATCTCAGTCCTACAGGAGGTTAGTCACGGATTGGATAGCTCAGTGGTAACGTCTCTGACTGAGAAGCTGGGTGGCACGGGATCAGATCCACCAGGGAGCACCAGTTCCCTCAAGATTACAGGTACACCTTGCTGACGAGTGCCAAGTAGCACGAAACCCGGGTCCAGGGATTCCTGTCGACTACCTCCAACCACCATTTAATATTTTCACTTTATTTTATTTTCTTAACAGTTTGAGAGCCTTAGTTCAAAATAATTCAAGGCGTAGGTTTAGTACAATTTCAATAGAATAATATCTATTTCTTGTTCACTCGCTGAGCCAGCGCTCGCTTTCAACTAGGATACGGGAACACGTCCTAGTTTGGTTCTACAAGGGTGAGAGGAAAGCAGTTAAGAGTTCTATACTTGAATACCGAATCAACTGTAATCATTCTACGGATCCACAGTTTGATTTTAAGGTTGTATATATGATTCATTCAAATCTACCTAGATTTCTTCGTATCCAACTCCTTAAAATAACCGAAACTCTTACCATCCATGAGCTCAAACTAGAACTATGAGTACAAAAAGAGTACGTCTTATCGTTATCGTTACTTTGGCCTTAATTAATATTATTATTATTACTACACTTCCCGCTTTACTGATGTGTCACATTCTCATTGTCCTATTCATAAGTGCTCATGATATCATTTTACTTATTTATTACACCTCTATTGTAACAGAAGCACTTTAATCATCTTATTACATTCACGTTATAATTCCTTAATAACTTATTTCGTCTATTGTTATTATTCGTATTGCGTAATCTAGTATTGTAATCTTCCTATTATGTCATCTTGATCATATCTTGTTCACATTTTACTTATAGAAGTAGTACTTTAACAATTGTACAGCTTGATAATAAATTCGTTGAAAAGAGAGAGATCCCTTCGTTGAACTGATATATCCATTTGAGTATTTAGACCATCGTATTACGTCCTTAATCTGTCTACCCACTTTTGGTTCTGAGGATAACTTGTCTAATTTAGATTAAGACCTTGACGAGATAGGCTGACCATCTTAACCTTGAGGCTAGTACGCATGAGTTCGAAGTGAGGTAGAAAGAAGAAAATTATCCTGTCACCTGATTGGCTGACAAGAACGCGGGTGATAGAAGACATGACAACCGGAATACTACTCGATCTATTCCCAATTTCCCGATTTTAGATTAATGTAAAAAGATACATGAATAAATAGATGACTAACCCGACCACAACGTACAATAATTAGGAAAATACAATCATGTTCAAAACTGGGGATTAGTGTAGAAAATAGGGTGCAAAATATTATGTTTAAATTACAGTAGCTTTGGAACAAAAAGGGATATGGCAATGAATGACACACCGAACGAAAGCTCATGTTCTGTAGAGTAGACTATGGACAAAAATAAATGTTACTGTTTTACAAGCTTTGAATTAACTGCAATAACGTCCTGAAGAATAGCTTTCATGGTTTACCAAGGCTTCTTGTTTCTCTGTTCACATCAATATGTATATATATATATACATCTCAGTCAATACAATCAGATCCATAACTATACAAGACCATTGAATCAACTATTTAAATTCCCTACAAATTTTAATAGTATTAAGACATAAGAATATAAATCATTCTCATTATGAAAATGAATATGTGTAGGCTACATTATAAATTGAACATTTTCCGCATGTAAATGGTTGACTAACTTAATCAATGAACAATTTTTTGTTAAAAAAAATCAGTCAACTTTCATTATGTGATATACCTAATTATACATCTTCTTCTTCTTCTTCTTCTTCCGCCTGTTACTCCTAATGGAGCATTGGCCGCTGACCAGCATTCTCCAACCCACTCTGTCCTGGGCCTTCTTTTTTATTTCCATCCAATTCTTGTTCATTTTAATCATGTCTATCTCCATTTCTCGGCGCAATGTGTTCTTTGGTGTTCCTCTTTTCCTTTGGCCCTGAGAATTCCATGTGAGGGCTTGCCTTGTAACGCAGTTGGGTGCTTTACTCAATGTGTGTCCTATCCACTTCCAGTGCTTCTTCCTGATTTCTTCTTCCACTGGGATCTGCTTTGTCCTTTCCCACAGTTGGTTGTTGCTCATAGTGTCCGGTCAACGGATCCGAAGTATTTTGCATAGACAACTGTTAATAAATACCTGTATCTTCTGTATGATAGCTTTCGTAGTTCTCCAGGTTTCTGCCCCATACAGTAGAACTGTCTTGACATTTGTATTGAAAATCCTGACCTTGGTGTTGGTTGACAGTAAATTTGAGTTCCAGATGTTCCTCAGTTTTAAATATGCTGCTCTTGCTTTGCCGATCCGCGCCTTCACATCTGCATCAGATCCACCCTGTTCATCAATGATGCTGCCCAAATACGTAAAGGTTTTTACATATTCCAAATCTTCTCCGTCAATTGTGATTGGATTGGTGCATTCTGTGTTGTATCGGAGAATCCTGCTTTTCCCTTTGTGTATATTGAGACCTATTGCTGCTGAGGCTGCTGCCACACTGTTTGTCTTCTCCTGCATCTGTTGTTGCGTTTGGGATAGAAGGGCCAGATCGTCTGCGAAGTCTAGATCATCCAACTGCATCTTAGATGTCCATTGTATCCCGCGCTTTCCTTCAGATGTTGACGTCTTCATGATCCAGTTGATCGTCAGCAAAAAGAGAAAGGGTGAGAGTAAGTAACCTTGCCTGACACCGATCTTTATTCCGAACAAGTTTGTCAACTGTTGCCCATGAACGATTTTACAGTTTAATCCATAACAGGAATTCCGTATGATATTGACTATCTTCTGAGGCACGCCGTAGTATCGAAGAAGCTTCCATAGTGTTGTTCTGTTCACGCTATCAAATGCTTTTTCGTAGTCAGTGAAGTTGATGTAGAGTAATGAATTCCATTCAATTGATCCATAGTGTTGCGATTCGTTCGGTACACGATTGATCCTTACGGAATCCAGACTGTTGATCTCGAATTTGGGCGTCTACCGAGTCCCTCATTCTGTTTAACAACACCCTATTGAAGACTTCAACTGGTATTGAGAGAAAAGTGATTTCCCTGTAGTTATCACAGTTGCTGAGATCGCCTTTCTTCGGTATTTTGATCAGGAGTCCTTCTTTCCAGTCTTTTGTACTTGTTCTTCATCCCAAATCTTATTGAAGAGAATGTGGAGTATCCTTGCACTTGTCGCTACATCTCCTTTCAGTGCCTCTGTTGGAATGTTTCCTGGTCCTGCTGCTTTGCCACTCTTGATTTGTCTGATGGTCATGCTGATTTCTCCAATTGTTGGTGGGCCAACATTGGTTGGGAGGTCCGTGGGTGCTACTTCGATATTGAGTGGGTTCAGTGGAGCCCGTCGATTCAAGAATTCTTTGAAGTGTTCTACCCACCTGTTTCATTGTTCTTCAATATTTGTGATTACCTCGCCTTCCTTGCTTTTCACTGGTCGTTCTGGTTTGCGGCGATTTCCAGAGAGTTTCTTTGTCGTGTCATACAGTTG